CACCAACCATCTGGGATACACTGGTGCCACATTGTCCTATGCACAGGGCATGGATATCACAAAGAAAGAAGGCTTTGGAGAGTTGAAAGTCCTCTGCATGATATCCTTGCTGCGTAGCTCCTGTGCTTCTATGATGTCCCTTAAAATTTGCGTGTTATGATATATGATTAGGTCAAATAGTTGGACAAATTAGCTTGGGATGCACACCTTACCCGTAGGCTGATAACCCCGAGATGCTCACGGATACCTGATCGGCGTGGGTTAGCCGTACACGTGTCATAATGGGCTGTCCATGAGTGCTAGACGGTACGGTATGGTGTCCGGTACAGTCACAACACCGTACTACCTAGGACACGGGCAACGATTGTCAATTTTCTGGTACAATAGACATATTAGGCAAGATAAAATCGATGTCAGGGCGCACAAAAAGTGCTGCTACGCGCTACTCACTTTTAGGCTTGACGTCGATGGTATTATAAGCCTCTGAATACCTCAAAGACGAGTACGCATTGCAAGGAGACTGTATACTTCAGTACCATGTTATTACTCTCCAATACCGGACATCGGTCATCTGTGCACGCTCCCTACCTGAGGTTACACCAACACCGAACAAAAGGCCTTCGGTTATCTCAACAGGGAATAGTATTAAACTGTATTGCGATTACCCTGCATTTTGCATCCGTGTGATCGGCTAAGGATCGGCCATACCAGTATCGGTGACTTATCGCCGGCAACTAAACGTCGCACCTTGAGAGAAAACTACCATCATGTTATTTACCATCCCCATCCCTGCCCTCTGTGACCGAACAACCTCATCCTGTATATCTGAGTAAACCGTCATGCCTGCCTTGACTTCTTGATTTTCGAACCTCCCTGACTGATCTTGTTACGGCCGTTGTTGACCAGTGATCCTCGACTGGTCACTGGATTGCTACGAGTCTCAGTGGCTTCTGATTCCCTGTGTCAAGATGGTGTGGCTAGACTACAGGTTTGAATCATGCGCTTATGTCTGGAGATAATTGCTCGTATATTCGACGCCTTGGCATCTAAACAATATCGTCTTCATCTTTTGTGTTTTCCCTGGATGGGAACGTGGCTGGTGATTACTCCGGTGCTTTCCCGACGTTAACCGTTTTACCGAGTCCATAATTAACCTGAGCGCTCTACGCTTCCCAGACGTAACCTTCGCAGGAGGATCTGCTAAAGTCGTCTCATTTCTTTCATCTTCTACGCAGGTGTTCTTCGTTTGTATCCTTGCCTCATAGATATCGCTCTCACTTCCACACTTATCGGTTCCGATAGCGGAATGCGAGTCCTACGTCGTCAAGTCGTTTTGATATGCGGTGGCGGCGGCATGTGTTCTTTACTGCCCTTACCTCCTCCCTGTATCTACTCAGCCTAATCTCGGGACCTGGCCCGTTCTCTTACTTTTTTTTTTCTTTTGCACCCGTCCAGTCTTTCAGGATCACCTTTGTTAAAATATTGAAGCTTGAAGGCTTGCGATCTCTATAGCGATATTCTCACTATCGTGGCTAATTCGGTGTTATCTTGGAACATTGCCATCGCATCCCTGACACAGTCGGACCTATCACACGGCCCTTCGGTCTTTAAATCGATGTTTGTACGCAAGGGTCGGTGTGATTTTCTCTGATTTTCCTCATGATATATTGATTGATATCAAACGTCCCAAACACTCAGCTATATGGACCCTCGAATATTTCGGTACCGCACCCGTTCGTGTTTCGTTGATGTCATCTACTCCCGTAAAGTGGGCACGGGTCCAAAAGTCTTTTATTATCTGTCCAATGTCATGTACACTTCTCATCTTTTCTTCACTCGCACTATCCGCATGTTTTGATGAGATTGGGACTAACGATATAGGAGGATCTGATTCAAGCCCGAGCTTATTTTAACCGGGCCGGCAAATAGCCTACTATACTTCCGTCTTGTGGCCCCTTTCACTCCTATGCTACTATTTAGGCAGGGTTGTCTCTCGCCATTGTATTCCTGCCGCAGTGCCTGCCATTCCTGCCTTCAGCTCAGTATTCACACACACGACGAACGCCGCGCGTCATCATTCAACATTACCCTTCCCCATAAATTAAAATTTCATTACCTCATGTCAATATGACGTCAATACCGACGCTTCTTTTGTTAGATGACATCAAGGACTGGTTTAGATTCGCTTTTGAGCAGTCCGCCTGTCACTGCAATGCTAGCATACAGTTTCTAGAAAGTATTTCTATCTTCCCTATCTCTCCAATTTCCCAAAGTATGCGGAATTCGAGCGAAAAAGGAGAAAAGGAAATTAGGCCGGCCATGACGTCAGCACGTGGGACAATGACGTAGAGCCCTCACGACCGGGCAAAAAGCAGGTCAATTTGAATTTTCCTTTCTTATCCATCATCCCCCATCACCCTTTACTCCACACCGCCTACATCATACTCAATTCCACGTATTTCTCTTCCATTCGTACCTCCAAATTACTGCCATCCAAGCCCAGAAATCAGAAATCGAGAGAAAATGGGCGGTGACCACAAATGCCCCGTTTGCCAAGCGACGTTCACCAGACCGCAGCACGTCGCGCGCCATATGCGTTCGCGTGAGTCGTTTTCGCTCCACTTTGTTTGACTTTGTGGTACTCATTATTCTGATATTTCTCTACCGTGCTTTCTCCACCAACTCTCCACTCTTCGTTATGAATCGCTCCGAATTCTGATTCCCAGATACTGGCGACCGACCGTACAAATGTACACATTGCGGCGACCAGTTTGCGAGGAGGTAGGAGTATATTTCCTTCAGGTTTCCGTGATTATTCCCTCACGGGTCTCCTAGCGACCTCCTCTCACGACACATCAACAAATGTCACGCTTCCGCGTCGACGACGACCAATGAGAAAGGCAACGGCCGACGGAAAGCCTCGGCTACGCGTGCTACAACCAGCAAGCAAGCATGCGACCAATGCGTGCAGAGTAGTCTGCCCTGTGATGGGTGTAACCCGTGCTGTGAGTTTTCTTTTCATTAATTCTGTCCTGGTTAGCTTCGACGCCGTTGGCCGGCTTGACACTTCATTTGAGCCGACCCTCTATGAGGTACTCATCATGAAACTGTCAAGTCTATGCCATTGGCAGACCGCTGGCCTACATTTATGCTGAGCGGCTATTTCGGACCATGAAGAACCTCCGAAAGTGGGTGGATACCGTTTTAAACTTTGACACAGAATTTTGACCACAACAGAATGCGCTGAAATTCCATTTAATGGCAAAGCCGAAGCATTTTGTTGTGGTCAAAACATAGTGCCAAGTTTTCGACTGTTTCAATCATTTCCGTTGCGTTTTCGCGCGAAATTGTCACCTGCCAGGTTTACTTCAATTCCAAAATTGTGCTGATTAATATCGCCGTAGCTAAATGCGTACAACGTAAATGTCGTTGTACATTCGTCAAGTTTCACCGACAGACAGCGCCGGTTGGTCCAGGTCATAATCCCAATCCTTCGGCCCACATACCACCAACCGTGCCGCGATCGTATCTTCCTCCATCCGTGTCCGTATCATTCCCAACTCAGCAACAATTCTCTTTCCCACCTCCGCAAATGTATCCGCCCAACCTCGACGACTACCAGTCCAAATACCGCGAGCTCATGCATACGCAGACGCAGCAGCCCAGCCCGGAAATGTACCCTCCGACTCCGACATGGATGAATTACGGCGAGCCTGCACACGATATTCTTGGAGGTTCCAGTCTCACGAGAACACATTCGCTAGAGCATCATCAAAATCACGGCTCCCACTCCGATTCGAACCAGATTTATGGCGGAGGCGGGGGCTGGGTCAGAAGAGATTCTTTTTCAGAGAGTGGAGGCAGCAGCGCCGCAAGTAGCAGCGTCCACTTACCGCTTTACGAGAACGTTGATCCTTCAACAGCGGCGGCAGCGGCAGATGCACGCCTAGAAGCATTCGGGCTGATGAGCCTTGAGGAGCCCAACGCCCTCTATGATGGAGCTGCACCGTTCTTTGATGGTATATTCCCATCCTCGTCGGCGCAACAGACATCTACAAGCAACCATGTGCCGGTGGCCAGCATGATGCAGATTCCAACTCCTCGTGAAGCGGAGACCAGGGAACTCCGTGAGTTTTGGAAGGAGTACATGCGCAGCACGCCCTTAAATCATCCAGCTAACCACGCCCATTCGGCATCGCCACCGCATCCGGTAATGAGTCCTCCGAGCGCCAGGAAGCGTGTGTCCAGTTTACCAAGTGTGAAGACGCCAACGGAGAACATCGTCGGTGGTGGTGAGGCCAAGGGTGGATTTGAGGATGCAGTGATGGCTCGGAAAACGCTCGGAAATTTAAGTATGGGGGGAGTTCAGGGGATTAAAGGCCGACGGATGACTCATATCAATCCCCCGTCGTTGTCGACATCGATTCCCCCGCCGCCGTCGCACCGCCAACAGCCGGTAAGCCACGGGTCGGCGTACGGATTCTCCCTCGCTGGGGCGATGGGCGACGGGGAGCGGCCGAATTTTAAGCGGCTCCCTAGCCAGGTTCTGGAACCGCTCGGGGGGTCCAAACGGGTGAGAGGTGACGGAAGCGACGAGGGAGGAATGGATATGATCAAGGTGGAAAGTGGCGAATGACTATATGAACGCGCATATTAGAAAAGTCTTCGTTTTACCTGCTATGATGCATTTATGTTAGATACCAGTTGTTTTGTCAAAATATCCAGATGATAATTATTATGTGATGTGAGCGGACTTTGCAGACGTCGGAACGAGATGACAAGTTGAAGTTGAGACGCAACAGAATGACGGAATTACCCCACTCGGGGTCATGGTGTCGACGCCAGGTGCTTCACAGAGGGTGTAGTTACTACGATATTAAGTAGCCAAGCAAGAAGTAAGAATGCATTTGATCGTAGTCTTGAGAAGCGGCTCAATTGCTGAATTTTAAACATGTTGGAAAACCACAAAAGAAAAATATATTCGACATACAACAAGCAGACTCTCTGGCTGGGAGTCGAACCCAGCTTTCGCGCGCAACATTCATGACAGGCGCGTGTACTAACCGATATACTACCAGAGATATAGACAAGTTACAGTAAATAAATATAACATCGCATAGCACTCGCCCACAGACGCAGGCCCCAGGGTTTTGGTTTGCCCAGCGACTGAAGACCAGTTCGCTCCTGGTCCGCTCCACTGTCCAGCGGGCCCCAGACCTGCTTTTGTACTTCCTTCCTTCGACCCACGGTCTTTTTTTTTTTTTTTTTTCAAAGAGGTAGCTTCCCGTGCTTCCTTTGTTTCTTTCCTGACACCTGTGCTCTCTTGTTACCATGATACAGTGATATTAAACATAATCTCCGCATCGTCCGCATCCCAAAGGCTATTGTTATCTCCGAGGCTCTCACGTCCTAAACATCAAAGGACATATATTTTTTCTGTGAGCGTTTACCCACCAAAGTACACCCTAATAAGGTCTAGATGGTACATCGCTAAGTAGAGCTTGAGTAGAGCCGAATGCCCCACTTGGTCTGGAGTGGGAATTTCAAGGTGTTGTGTCTGAATTTCTGTTTGCCGACTCCATCGAAGCCGCTCTATCCATGCAAATAGACGTTCGACGGTCAATTCTTCACTCCAGAAGGCATTACATCGTACACGAGTTTCGTCAGTGCTGAGAACCGGGTCTCATCACGAGGGCTACTCATACAGGAGACCACTGCACCATCCGGATGCCTAATCTTTCTCGAGATGTCAGAAAAAGGTTAAGTCTCGTTGCAACTGCCGCAAGCAGCCGGGAGCATTCTACGCCTTCAGTTCAATCGAACCATGACCTCCCGGACCATTTCTGGTTTGCATACATTGATATTTTGTTAACCTTCACACCCTCGAGACCCTTAATCACCGGACCCAGCTCTCGATACGTCGAAATCGTACAACATTTCAACGGGACAACTCCTTCTCCTGGATTCGTAAACCGCGTCACCAGCAACCGCTCCAATGTCTCCTGCGTAAATCCAAAGTTATCGTCGAGTTTAAGCTTCTCCAAACTTGGACACAGCTCGCCACTGGCGAGCGCTTCAAGGAGAGTATCTGTGACCACTGGGGATCGCGGACGGTGGGCCTCATTCCAAGGGTAGTCAAAATCCTTTATCCTAAGCTCGGCGAGCGAAGGAAGGAGGTCTAGACAGGAAATAAGGACTTCTGTCGAGGTAATGGATAGATGTGACCGGAGCTTGAGCTTCCTCAGCGTGTGAGAGCAACGTGTAATGAACCCACGCAGTGCAATGAGAGAAGCGTCGTCAGCAGTAGCTTCATGGTGGAGCCCGTCGACGTCTAGCAGTTCGAGGACCGGAGCTACGATGTACGTGAAGAAGTCGGGTAGGTTAAGGAAATTTGGGGCTGCTACAGGCGAACCACGGAACGCGCATACTTCGATTCTTAACGACTTGAGGTGAGCAAGATGGGCGGTCACAAAGGCTACAGCGTCCTGAGCGTCTGGATGAAATCTTTCAGAGGTAGAGATACGGCAGTGGATGAGATTTGTGCATGCAGCGAGGATTACGAGCATCTCAGGGGTGTTTATATCCCAGTGTTCGCAACGCTGAAGAGTAAGAGTAGTGATGTTCGGGAGGAGTTCCAGGAAGGAGCCCTTTCGAAGGTCCGGTGAGAACGAGTTGAAGGAAATTCTACGAAGATTTGGCGTAGTCGCAGTGGAAAGAAATGGAAACTCGATATGCTCGAACTGAAATGGCGTATGATAGTCAGACGTACCCAGCTCTATCGATTCGAGAAAATCATATTTCTGATCGGCTGGAAGGTCGAAGAATATGCTCAGCGAGAATGAGGGAATGTAAACTGCGAGATGTTTCCATCGGGTTCTCGATTTCTCGAGTACCCATTGAATCTGAGAGTACACCATCTGCGATTCATCCTCTCGTCTCTCTTCAGCGCGGAGGGATAGATCTAGTGGGAGGGCTCCCAGATGCACCAGCCAATACTCAAAACCCGTACGCATCTGTTCGTACAACTCTGGTTGCGATTCGGGATATGGGATTGACCGGGGAATCACAAGATGTAGGGAAGCCCACAGCTCGGGGGCTTGCAATGATATACTCCGCCAGGAACTGCAGACCCTCCCAAGTAACAGCGGTGGCTCTGCGGCATCCATGATAGGGTGCTTCCGCAAGCAACGACGGAAAATCTCTTGTAGAAGCTCCGTCGGAAGACTATGGATAGTGGTAGAGTTTGTGTCAGCCGGATCGGCAGGGAGTTCGGCAATTTCCAGCAATGTATTAGCCTCAGACCGTCGAAGTTCATCACGTTCAGACGTCAGCGTGGCAAGCTTCTGGGTCAAGGAAGTAATTTCAGCTTCAATATACGTCAGTCGAGCTTTTGCCGACTTTTCATCCGATGGAGATGGTGATGGAACGGACATGTCTTGAGGAGAGTGCTATCAGTAGAGCCAACCTGGATTGCATCCTCGTACTCACCGCAAGGCGATAGTGTACCACAGACTCGGAGCTTGTAGCTCTAACGTGAGTCACGGTGGCTGAGCTGTAAAATTTGCCGCCTTCAAAACGCCGCCGCCAACTCATCAAAGATGGATATCAGAATCACAACTGCCCGATTGGGATATTCTTTATTCGACAAATCCTGGCTACCATTACGTTCGCATTACAAGCACATGTACTAGTATCATCAACAGCACTGTTAGGATATCTGGTGCAAAATTCACCGACCCGTTAATACTCTCAAACCCCTTAATTGTGGAATTCCCGTAATAAAAGCTATCTCCATCGTCTGGTTCTCCCAGTATGACTAGGGCGGCCCCGGCGCCTGGAACGGTCACGGTGCACCCGTCTATACAATCGAGATAGAATGTATCCTGGTTCCCGACCAGCTGACCTAAGCCTCCCACTGTCTGGCCAGCCCATGAGATGTTACTCGTCTCCAATACGGACGGCGCGAGGAGCAAGCGGTAATGCAGGGAGGCCGTTATATTAGCTGGGATGGCATAAACCTGTTCGTCACCCTTTTCGCTCAGATTGAGGAGCACGATCTTTCCCCGTGTGGACCCAGCATCGTATACCCCATATGCAGCTGATGTCGCACTCGGATTATGTAGGGAGTCATTGAGGTTCAAGTCAACGACAATATTCCCGCTAGCGCTGAAAGTCTCCGCTAAGAAAAGTGCTGCGTAGTATGGCGCTCCCGTGATCCACTCGGACGAAGTAGAAGCAGGTGGATCAAAAAGATTATACTGTATTCCGGCTTCCCGCGTGTGAATGTAGGCTCCTGAGAATCCCCGCTCGGCACTTTTCAAACCAGCGTCAATCAGCCAAAGGGCTGCGGCAAAGGTGGAAGAGATGTTGGTGCCGCCACAAGAAACGGTATTGTATTCCGTAAGAAGAACGGGGATGTCATCCTCCTTGGCAAGAGCGATACCGTCCGAGTTCCAGGCTAGGTAAGGACCAACTGAAACGCTAATCAGTCTTTGATCAATGAAAAAGCAAGTAGCACACCTTCCAGGTGTGAAAGATAGTATGTGACGTTAGTATTGTCATCATTCGGACCTTGGCAAGCATGATTCGGGTAATGTTGTACACTGCAATGTTTCATCAGACACATATTGGTAGCTGGTTATGAACTTGAGTAACCCACGTGTAGTACTTGTACGGATATTGGTCGAGACCTGCTTGTATAACATCGGATAATGACCTGCGAGACAATTAGCCTTCCAAAGGTAAAAGCAGATGTCAAAGGCGTACCACTGCCCACAGCAAATTGTAGGACCGCCAAGCACGGAGCCATTAATAATGCCCTGCTCTTCCATATCTCCAATGACATGGCCTATTTCCGAGATCTATAAAACCATGCATTTCTTAATAAATTCATAGATGAGAAAAGAGACTAACGTAGGTCGTTAGGTTGTAGTCTGTCCTCGTGCCATGTCCGGCATACAGATCCGGTTCCTTGTTTCAAAAGTCAGGAAAGCAGGTAGAAAAATAGATATAGCTTACATTTCCCAGCAGCATCGCATCTAACCTGTCTCCCAAAAGCTCCCTTGCATCTTTAGCTAGTTCTAGCACGTTTTGGTCGTTGGCCGGATCTCGCATACTAAGGCCAATGATAAACTGCATCGGCTCAACCTCGTCGTACATTGCATTCATGATATCAAACAGTACACGACCGAAGTTGACCGGGATATCATTGAAATAGGCGTCCGGATCCGTAAGTTCGAGCATCTTGGGGATACTTGATCCGACGTATGTCGACCTGCGAAGATATCAATCCCCAAAAAATTACAAAGGGAACACTAACGCGCATACCCATCCATCCCGTTCCCACCAACACGGATCCGAAGAGGCGCGCTCGTGCGAACGTTGATGTTGTGCAGATAGTTGATCATTGCGTCTGGGATCGTGTCCACGGTGGACCCCCCTACATGGCCAAAGTCAACTCAAGGCGCCTAGAATGTGAAAAACCGCGCACTCACACAATGTATCAAATGAGCTCAATTCGAAGGAAATTCCCAGAAAATTGTCGGCAACGGCACTGGTTGTGCCATTCGGCGGTTGCTCGCGGAACGTGACATTCAGAGGTTCGCAGTGCGAAAAGCTGAAAGTCGACAGAAGAAAGATTAATGAGAGTGGGAGAGCCAGCATTGCTAGGCTCTTGTCGAAGTTTGAAGTCAAGAAGATAAAGGAAACTCCTAATGGAAACGGTGTTGATGTGCCAAGAGAATTCACCAAGACGCATGTTTCCTTGCGGGCACGGCGAAGTTACAGCGGCGTATTGCTCGGTACCCAATATTAATGGATTGACATCTCAAATATTTACATGCATAGCCTGGTCGTTCGTGGCCTGCATGCAGCCACTGAGTTTGGATACCTAGCCCAAGTTCCAATATGGCGGAGGTAAATACGCCGTTCACAAACGGTTTGCTGCCCATAATAGGTCAGTGCTCTTACCTCAGATAGAACTAATAAATACCATTAATCATGTTCGATTTGGTATTTGAGCTTTGCGAGTGGTGATGGTAGTGATCAAAAGAAACAGTAAAGAATTGGTTATAACCGGCCC